ACAAATTGGAATTTGGTGGCTGGGAGAGTGAATTACATTAAAGGTTAAAACACTACATTTGTTATGAAGAAAAGATGATCTAGTAACTCAGTTATGAAACAACAAAAAAGCATAATATGCAAGTATATTTTGTTTTATCATAGGAATGATAGATTTGTAGATTATAGTGGAAAAATTCTTAACTAGAATTAGGAAGATACTCATTCTTTCATTTGTTCAGTCATTTGTTTATTCATTTAATAAATATTTACTGATACCCCATTCTGTGCCTATTCCAGGCACTAAGGACAGAAGTAGTAGTGAACAACACATAAAAAACCTTGCTCTCAAGCAATTTGTCTTCCAGTAGGGGGAGACAGATAACAAATAATAAATAAGTAAAATGTTCGTCATAAGATGGTAATAAACAGTAGTAAGTAAGATGGTATAAGATGATAAATAAATAAGGCTGTAAAGGAGGCCAGAGAGAAAGGAGTGGCTGGGTGGGATTCTAATTTTAAAGAGGTAGTCAAAGAAGCCTCACTAAGAAGGTAACATTTGCAGAAATTCTTGAACAGGATGATTGATCAAGACATACAGTCATCTGGAGAAATAATTCTCTACGTAGGAAGAATAGCAAAGTCTAAGTCTCTGAGGCAGGAGAGTTCCTGAATCCTTTCAAGTATTAATACAACAAATGGCCAGTATGACCCAAGTGCAATGAGCAAAGGGAGTAGGATAGGATGTGTGGTCAGAGAGTGCGTCAGACAGTGAAGGATCTTACAGGCCATTGTTAGGACTTTGGCTTTTCATATGAGTAACTTGGGAAGCTATTGGGGCATTTAAGCAAAGAAGAGACATAATCAGACTTATATTTAATAGGACCACACTGGCTACTGGGTGGAAAAGAGACTGCAAAGGGTAAGGGAGCAAGGACAGAAACAGAAAGATCAGTCAGGAGATCCTTGAACTAATCTAAAAAAGAGATGATGGCTCCTTGAACTAGAGAAGAGGTGGTGAGAAATAGTTTGGCTCAGGGTACATTTTGGAGGGAGACCTAAGGAGAGCTCAAACATGGGTATGAGAGAGAGGGAAATCAAGGATAAGGTAGAAATCAAGGTATTTGGAGCTGGCATTAATTGAGACAGGGAAGACGTTGGGGTGGGGAACAATTTTAGGGATAAAGTCAGAGATTAGGAATTCAGTTGTGGACATGTTAAATTTGAGATGTCAACCAAATATCCATGTAGAAATATTGCACGAGTGGTTGGATAGAAAGGTCTGGAGCTCAGGGAGCAGATTTATTTGGAGATGTAAATTTGAGGGGTCAGCAAGTAGATGGTGTTAAACCTATGAGACTAGGTGAGATCATCAAAGAAGTAAATACAGACTTAGAAAAGGACTAAGCTTCTTGTGGGAGGGAAATGCAGTGTTTAAAAGATGTTGGAAAGAGTAATATAACTCATCAAAGGAGACTGATAGGGAGTAGCCAGAGAGTTGGGAAGAAATATAGAAGAATGTTGTGCCCTGGAAACCAGGTGAAAAATGTATTTTAAGGAGGAGGGATTGATTAAATACTATTGTTAGATGAAGTAAATGTGGATTTAATACTAACCATTAGCTTAATAATGTTGAGGTTGATGGTATTGTTTAGGGGAAATTGAAGTAGGGATAAAAGCTTCAATGAGAGTGAGAGGAAAGGATTTAGATAGATAAATGTGGACTATTCTTTTGAGGAGTTTTGAAAAAAAAAAAAGAGGCACAGAGATATGGACCAGTAGCTGGAGGGGGATGTGGGATCAAGGGGAAAATTTTTTAAGATCAAAGAAATAACCGTAGTGAACGAACCAGATAAAAATCCTTGCCCTTAAGCAATTTGTTTTCTACTAGGGGGAGACAGGAAACAAATAACAAATGAGTAAAATGTTTGCTGTCAGATGGTAATAAGTGGTAATGAATAAGATGGTATAAGATGGTAAGTAAATAAGGATAGAAAGGATACTAGAGGCAGAGAGGAATGGCTGGGTGGGATTATAGTTTTGAGTAAGTAGTCGAGGAAGCCTCACTAAGAAGGTAACATTTGCAGAAATACTTGAAGAGGATTAATGATCAAGCCATATACTTTGTATATTGATGGAGACAAATTAGTAGAGAAGGAAAAAATAATAAAAAACAACATTTCTGAAGTGATGTGCTTAATTATGCAAGAGGATGAGATTTAATGCACAAATGGACGGGCTGGTCTTAGAAGCACAGCCAGTTCACCCACGGGGAACTAGAGGGAAGGCAGAATGAGTATATGACATAGATGAAGATAGGTAGGCAAATGGATGTCAGAGAGGGAGATTTTAAAAGTTGTCTTCTGAATGCTTCTACTTGCTCAGTGAGACAGGAAACAAAGTCAGAGGCTGGCATGGAGATTGGGAAAGAGATCTTGGAGGTTCCAGGTGAGAAGAAAAGGTGTGAAATTGTTTTCTAAGGCAGTAAGCTATAGAATGGACAAGGGTCTGTAGAATGGTTGAGACAGCATTAATGGCCCACTTGAAGTTAGGTCCTGAATTTAAATGACTGTTGTATGTTTTTCTCCAAGAACACACAGCTGCCTGGATTCAGGCACGGAGCAGGCTGAAAGCTATCTTTATAGTCAGGTTTTGCCAGGGACTTACAACTAAGTAAAAGGGGACAATGGAATTAAGAATGTGTATACGGGAGTGATTTCACTGAGAGACTGTGGAATCTAAGTCAGGTAAGGTAGGAGATGCAAATATGAGGGAGCTGAGAGATACTTTGGATGGGTTAAGATCAGTGGTTTGCAGGTCCCAGTAAGGTAAAAGAATTATTGGAGTTGCAATATCAGAGGAATTGAGATGATCAGAGAAATTGAGATTACAAAGGGTAGCAATTATTAATACTGGAAAGGTCAAGGGTTTGCCCTGGGGGAACTGGGTAGAAGTGGTCACAGAACAAAGATACCAACATCCCAAGTGGCCTTTAGCCTCAGCAGAAGTAAGATTTCAAAAGTCTTCGAGGGAGATTAGGAAGCAAAGAAATAAAGCAGATTTACAAGCTAATCCTAGGGATCAGCTTTGGGTATAGTTACCGGCACATGGAACCAAGAAAAAGCAAAAAATCAGAAGTAACTGTATTGCTAAAAAAAACATGAGGTAGCCTTAAGAAGCCTTTCACTGTTAAAATAATATTTGTGATATGAAACACACCTGAAAGTGAGCTTCAAAGCAATATGGGCCTCAAGACAGTATATACTTCCCAGTACTCAGCAATGGTGTGGCCTGGAGGCTAGAGGACAGAAAATCACCTCCCAGGTGGCCAAGCAAAGGGCTATAGGAAGCAATGGACAGGGAATGTTCTTCTCAGAGAACACAATCCAGGTGGAAAAAAAGACTGTTCTCCATTGCCACAATCCAGAAACTGCTGTGTATTTATCACTCCTTCTTTTCTAAATGGGAGTTTATAATTCTAATTTTTCTGTCTTTGTTACTTATTGTACATGTAGTGTCAAGACTTGATAAAGAGAACGATACATCATCTGTAGATTCTGGACTTTGAGTTAAAGGCAGTGCTACATGGGACTCTGGGTTCTCCTTTGGGAAGAAGAGTGTTCTGGAGGCCAGAGAGGTAGACTATAGAAGACACACTTAAGTATTCATTGAGGTTTGTGTCTCTTGTTCCATTTGTTCCATGGTATAGAAAAGGCAGCTCAGCTCATAGCTATATTGCTCAATTCCTTCCTCCTTGAATCTGGGTGTGACCTATTTTTTTTTTCATGGGATTAGAAACATGTAAATTTCTTTTTTGAAAACTTTTATTTTAAGTTCAGAGGTACATGTGCAGGTTTGTTACATAGGTAAACTTGTATCATGGAGTTTTGTTGAACAGATTATTTTATTACCCAGGTATTAAGCTTAGTATCCATTAGTTAATTTTCCTGACCTTCTTTCTCCTCCCACCCTTCATCTTCTGATAGGCTCCCATGTCTGTTGTTCCCCTCTTTGTGTCCATATGTTCTCATCATTTAGCACTCACTTATAAGTGAGAATGTGTGGCATTTGGTTTTCTGTTCCTGTTTTAGTTTTCTAAGAATAATGACCGCCAGTTCCATCCATGTCTTTGCAAGGGATGTGACCTTGCTCTTTTTTAATGGCTGCATAATATTTCATGGTGTATATGTACCACATTTTCTTTATCCAATCTATCATTGATGGACATTTAGGTTGATTCCATGTCTTTGCTATTGTGAATAGTGCTGCAGTGAACACACATGTGCATGCATCTTTTTAGTAGGATGATTTATATTTCCTTGGGTATATACCCAGTAATGGGATTGCTGAGTCAAATGGTATTTCTGTCTTTGGGTCTTTGAGGGATGTGACCACTTATAACCAGTTTGTGTCTGTGGCATATAAGTGGAAATGCAATGTGTGAAACTTCTTATCCAAGGCTTTTAAGAGCAGGAGTGTTTTATTCATCCTTACTGTGTCCTTTTCATTGCTGGATGCAGATGATGGGGAAGATTTAAGGAATAGCAGAGCCACCCTTAAGTGTTTAAACCACCCCTAAGATGGAAGGAGCCTAGAGGAGAGTACCTACTGACCACAAACACCTGCCTTGTACTGTTATATGGTCAAAAAAAAATGTTATTGTGTGAAGTCAATGAAAAACTTGGATTCATTAGTTATAGTAGCTAACTTTACTTTTCCTAATACAATGTTGATCTTGATAAAAACTCCATTTCTTTGGGCTGCAAATGTTTATAAAAGTAAGTGGTTGGACAAGACAATCATTGAGCTTCCTAAGTGATCCTAAAATGATTAATTTCTGCTTAGTTTTGATTATATATAAACAAATATAAGCTCACACTTATGTCTTCCCATCTTCTAGAAATTCATAATTAACCCCCCGTCCATGCACACACACAGATAACTCAAATGGAATTTCTGAATTCTTTTATCCAAGAATGTTCAGAATGGCTGACACCACCAGTGAGGCACCTTTTGCCTTACCTGTGTGGTAGGGCACTGTAGGTTTAGCAACACGGAGGGACTGGTACAGCGTAACAGGTTAAAGTAAAACAAAATGGTCTTGTTCCTGTTAAGAAAGAAAACACAATCTTTTTAGTGACCATGGAAATGTTCCACATCATCAGACCCTGAACACTTTTGATAAATAACCTTTAAAAATTGGCTTCATTATCTATAGACAGCTGAAATATATCCCCCCTCACCCTTAAGTACCTAACCTTTAAAATGTCTTTTTTTCTAATAGTAAAAAGTTGAAATAATCAAACTATCCATCAACAGGAGATTGGTTAAATAGATTTGTATACCCATAAAGTAGAATATTACATTGCCATTGAAAATAATGCTAAAGAACATATCTAATGGTTGGTGAAATTTATAATACATCAATTTTAGGAAGCAGGTTACTAAAGAATATTAACATATGATTTGATTTTAATTTATAAAAACAGGTATAACATGAAGAAACAAATTATTACATCTGAATGTTGGGATTATATTGCTTAGTTAATTTTTGTGCTTTTATGGATTTCCCAAAATAAATATACATTACTTTAGTAATCTGAGAAAACATAAATGAATTAAGTGATACTTTCTCTCTGCTGAAAATTATAGCCAATGGCAGAGTAATGAAGCAGGTTGATATTCATTATCATTAGTTTTGAGTGGTGTATTATTCTGCCATTTAGCAACCCATGGTTCTCTTTTGAATCTCAATTTTCTCATCAGTAAAATGAAGATAATACTAGTCCTGCCTACTTCACAGAGGTGTTGGGAGGGCCTAAGATAATGCACAGTGGACTTAAGACAAGTTAATAGAACTTTCCCTACCATCCCCTCTGAGGAGAGGACAAGTTGTTTCTTCCAAATTCCAGGTTATAGAGGGTTCTAAGAGAATCTGTCATAGAGACTGAAGGTGCAGTAAGACGGGTAGACCAACATCTCATTTTCTAATTGAACACCTCTTATGTGGCAGACCTGCTAGTCAGTCTTCCATGCCCATTTGAGCAGGGAGAAATGAGACCCAAAGAGACCACAAAAAAGTCAATGAGGCAGAAAGAGGGCAGCAGTAAAACAGCCCATCATAGTAGGATATGGAATCAATAAATGGGCTTCAGCCTCCCTGGTGGTACCTCACCTGACATTAGGAGACTGTGGAGGTGAATCACCAGGGATGGAGCTGAAAGGGTTTGGAGGAGGGCAAACCAAAGCTGATCACTTACATCAAAGAACTATTCAGTGAGGACTGCCCCAGAAAACGTCCACCTGCACCCCATGAGAGAGCCAGCCCTTGGATGCCTGCCCTAGTGAGTGTTGACGGCTGGTCAGTTATGTCCTAGCCACAGTGACAAAAACAACAGCAAAGCAAGTCCACAGAAACATTCCAGTTCTTTTTTCTTTAGTAAGAAGGGGCAGTAGCTAGGAAAGTAAAACACATCGTGCCTTTTCTTCTTCCACCCCTCACAGCATATTGAATAAGCTAGAACCAAAAAGGAAGAGAGGAGACGGGTAATAGCAGGCCAGGTCCTCTCTCTCACTTCAAGTTCTTTGGCAGAGTCAAACCTGAGCTTAGGGATTGAAAGAAATGAAATTGAAATCTTAAATTGGACTACACTGAACTTTTAACAACAGAAAGTGTCTGAAAACTATGTAATCTGCCTGAAATATCAAAGTGAGAAGGGAGATCTGAAGGAGCACTGTTAAAGGCAATGATATGAGAAAAATAAACTCATTCTAAGTTTGTATTCCACTAAATTCAAATGGCTGAAGAAGCTGGTTATAAATTCATACACAATATGTACAAGGCTACTACTTTGAGATCTCTAAGTGTTAGCTTGGCTATTTCGCCACCCAAGCAACAACGTCATCCACACAGTCTCACAGTGCATGTGATTCAAATTTGTACTTAAGCAAATGAGTAAATTATACATATCATGGATCACTAGGGTCCCTTGGGAGTAGTTAAAACTGTGAATAATAAATTAGTAAGTGCCAAGAGTTCACCATTGGTAAAACTGATTTATAAACTGCAAACTGCTATATAAACTCAAGTTATTCACCAGATCATATTATCCTCAAGGGTAAGGTTTATACCTTATTCATCTTTACATCCCTACCTTGCCAGAACTTAACCTCATACTTGGCCCGCTGTAGACACTTATCAGATGTTTTAGAATGAATGAGATCAATTCCATAATAAGTTTTTGAAAATATTTATCTCAAAGGTTTTCAAGTAAGTCTTAGAATTGCCCTTAGTATTTCAGCACAAATCTACAGTCATTTTACCATAGCCTTTGATATTCTCAAATTTCAGTGGACCACATTTTTTTTTTTTTTTTTTTGGAGACAGTGTCTCACTCTTGTCCCCCAGGCTAGAGTACAGTGGCATGATCTCGGCTCACTGCAACCTCTACCTCCAGGGTTCAAGCAATTCTCCTGCCTCAGCCTCCTGAGTAGATGGGATTACAGGCACCTAACACCATGCCTGGCTAATTTTTGTCCTTTTAGTAGAGATGTGGTTTTGCCATGTTGGTCAGGCTGGTCTTGAACTCCTGACCTCAGGTGATCTGCCTGCCTCGGCCTCCCAAAGTGCTGGGATTACAGGCATACGCCACCACACCCGGCCTGAACTCAGATTTTTTAGGTGCAAAGTAGATGATGGTGATTGCAGCTGAACAATTCTGTGGAAGTAATTGAGGAAGTAACTCATAATTTAACTTAAATTATATTTCCACCAAGAAATAAAATAGAAACAATAGCAAACCACTAGTTCAAGATGATGTACCAGGCCTATCTCTCTTCTTTCCTGAGACTCATCGGAATAAAATAGTAAAAGTACCAATACATGAATAAACCTCAACATACAAGCTAAGAATGTGGATGATGTGATTTGCTCACAATTGTATAGGAGAGTTCAGCAATATTTGGAACATGGGATGAATACTGAAGTGTGCTGAATGAATGCACCATACAGGGGTTCAGGGAGGGTGGGACAGAATTTACCTGTTATAAATCATGAAACATGCTAGACTGAGTTGAGAGCGAGAAATGTAGCCAAAGCAGAGAGATTAATTGAAAGTTCCCATACAGATTTTCAGTGCAAATCAGAACCACTGTCTTTCTCCCAGACCTCTATGCTTAGAATTCCAGTTTCCAGAAAATAGCTGATGAGCTAAAACTAAAATTGCAAAAAAAAAAAAAAAAAAAAAAAAAAAAAATCTCATAATATTTTAAGAAAGTTTATGATTTTTGTGTTGGGCTGCACTGAACGCCATGCTGGGCCACATGGAGCCTGTGAGCCGTGGGTTGCACAAGCTTGTTTTATGGCATTTTGAAAGCCAGTGCCTGACATCCAGCTTCCTACCAATTCATGCTGTAATGGCATATGACAGTCAACACAGCCCTGTCACCCCACATGGTGCAGAGTCCTCTTTGGTAAGATGACCGACTAACACAGCAGCAAAGCAAATCCACCCAAACCACCCAGTCCTTTTTTCTTTAGTAATGGATAATTATGTAGCATCAGGCATATATTAGGAATCAAAATATAAAAGAGAAAAACTAAACAAACAAAAATTAAATTATTAAAATAATTAAGGGCACAGGAGGGAATTTTAAAACTTCTAATATATTTAGAGAAATTTAAGCAGATTATTCACAAAATGAAAATGTGATGTTATTGTAAAAGAATAATTGGAGAACAAGAAGGGCTTATAAAGATTAAAATAGAATTGCCAAAATAAAAAAAAAATCAAAAGAAGACCTGGAAAAAATTAAGAAATTCTAAAATACAGAGCAAAAAGTCAGAGATAAAAAATAAAAGGAAAAAAAGAAGAGGCACTGAGACTAATCCAGGAGATCCAAGGTATGACCAATAGTTTCAGAAGGACAACTGAAAAAATGGAAGGGATAAAAATCACAAAGAAATAACAAAAGAAAATTGTCCAGAGCTGATGAGAGTCATAGTTCTTTAGGATTAAGGGACTTACTAAGGACTCAAAGAAAGAATTAAAAAGGCCTCTATCAAATTGTGAGATTTCAGACCACTAAGAATAAAGAAATGATTTTAAGTACTCTCTAAAAGGAAGAAACTTATCATGATATATGTAAATTATACTGGCATTAGACATGTTAGATGCCAAAAATAATGGAGCAATGTCTTCACATTTCTGAAGAGAATTGTTTTTCAAGCTACACTTCTACAGCTATACCATCAATCAAATATAAAAAGAGAAAAGAAAAGACGAAGAGACAAAAAAGACTCAGGAACTCAGCAAGTTTATTTCTTATGTTTTCTTTTCTTAGGAATGTAATTGAGAATATTCTCCATGAAAAAAAGGAGGGTCAACAGAAAGACAGGCAGCCTTGAGATATAGGAAACAATAAATTCACATACTTATACTAAAAATTATTATTTGTATGAAATTAAGTTAACTGGGCATTCTGTACTTTTGTTTCACAAAGCTGATAACTCTAGAAAAAGACAATTTAACAAGGTAGAGAAGCCCCAGAATTAAAGCTATGCAATAGGTCTACAATTTACCAGGTCCTGAGTAAAGGAAAAGGACAGCAGCTCTGCAAGGTAGATCTTCAGAGAAAAGGGGGGCCTCTGAAAAACAGTATGATTGAGACGGCAGAAAAACACATTGTCCTGATGAAGACTATCCAAGAAAAACCTTGCGGGCAAAGAAAAAAATATGCTAGGAAGTCACTATGTTGAAGCAAACTGAAATGTGAGATGATCCTACGCTGCTAATGAAGTGTGAGATTTGGCTTTGATATCAAGGACATAGTACAAATAAGAAAGCAATGGCCTGACAGTGAAAACGGTTTGCACAGTTATGACAAAGCAAAAGTTTTTAAAATCATTTTCAAATTCTGGAACCAACCTACCAATAGAACATGCCAGATTCTGTTGAAGTTCCAGAACTGAACATAAATGGTGACAAATTTGATCATGTAAAATGGTATTTGCAGAAAATGTATTTTCAGAAAGTAAAAGGTGACAGGGAAAAGGTGGACAGAAGGGTAGGAGGGATAATATCCTCTTACATAAAGATGAGCTGAGAC